AGGCTGGTCTCGCCTGCGCGCCGCCGTCCGGGCAAAAAGGGGGTCCTGGCCCTGGCCCCAGCCCTGGCCCTGGCCCTGGCCCGGCCCTCAGACCAACATAGGGCACTACGCTGCTTGCTGCTGCTGGCTGACCGAACTTTTTCGCCTGCCTGCCTGCCTGCCTGCCTGCCTGGCTAATTTCAGCGAACCCTGGCGCCTTGCTTCCTCGCCAGCAGGCTGGCAGGCCCGACGCCCGGAAGTCAGCCGACGTACGCAAATCGACCCGCCTGGCCTGCCGCCAACCGCCAACCGCCGCCGCCGCCGCTGCCGTCGTCGTCCGGTCTCTACGTACCAGCCCACTCTCGCCAGCCAAAGGGACGCTCTGCCGACGACGTCCTCCAGGTAGGCTGGCTCTGATGGCATCGGCGTGGATGAAAGGGATGCTTGGATTGCGCTTCAAAGGCCGGAGAGCAGGCGGCCGCCGGTGCTGTCGTTCGATCGGGGTCCAAGATGGGGGGCCGAAGGGGCGGCATCGACCAACAACCAGAGACATGCGAGGTCGCAGGCCCACGTCAAACTCCGCGCCTGCTTTTGTTGGCTTGCTTGGGTTCGAGGATCGAAGGCGAGGCAGGCGGCGCGGCGACCATCGGGATCCTTTCCGAGCCGCCTCGCCTCGCCTCGACCTCGTCCTGGCGGGTTCCATCGATAGTCACCGCCGTACGCACGTACGGTAGGCGCGACCAGGTGAGAGAATGGAAGCGTCGAGCTCGAGCTCGAGCTTGAGCTGCGCTGCTGCTTGCTAGCTTGCTGTCGTTTGTCCGTCAGACGGAGCACCTCGTCGTCGCAGCGCGCTGCCTCTAGCCGTTCCCCTGCCTTGCCTTGCCTGCCTGCCTGCCTGTCTCCTGAAACTTTCAAGGCGGGCGCTCGGGCTCCCCGCGAGGTCGGATCGGCCGACGGCTGGCTGGCACGCCAACCCCTTGCTGGCCTGGCTTCGCTTCGCTTCGTGATCGCCTCGACATCACTCACCAAGGACCGGAAGCCAGGCCGACCAAGCCTTGGCTGTCCCAGGCGGGCCACCCCCATCCTTCGTCGGAAGGCGAACGCGGGATATACGCCAGAAAGGCAGCAGCGAGAGGCCGAATTGTACGGGATCGGACCGCCGCCGCCTGGCCCAGGCTGGCCTGGCCTGGCCTGGCCTGGTCTGCTGCATGCATGGCTCGCCACTAGCTGCGCATCACCAAATTGCCAGAGGCAAGCAGCGGGCGCATGATGGGCAGCCGGTCGGCGTCCAAGTTCGTTGCCAGGCAGGCCTGCGGTTGGCGCGCTTTGGGCGTTTGAAATCGCCCACGTACTTTCGCCTGCTTCGCCCCGCCGCCGCGCCGGTTGGAGCGGTCCCGCCATCGGATTCCCGATGCCGAGCGGCGTCGGGATTCCGGCCATCGTCGACCACCTCGCCGTACGTCCCCTCACGTGGCCAGTGGCCAGCCAGACATCGGAGTCCATGTTCAGTCGGATCGGGTCGGCTCCGCGTACAGAGGGGAGCCATCTGCGACGCCGCCACTCGACGTGCAATCACGTACGGACGAAGAAGGGGGACCGAGCGCAATGGAGGGATCGAGGCGCTGTACATTCCCATCGCCTGCCTGACTGTCTGCCATCCATCCTACATCGGAAGGTACCGCCGCCGCCGCCGCCGCCGCCGCCGTCGTGCTGCTGGCGACCGCTAGAAGCCATCCTTGAGCTTGAGCTTGTTGGTGGCCTTGTCCATGACGGCCACCTTGCGCACCGCGGCGCTGAGGAGCTCCTTGATCTGGGGCTCGGTCTTGAGCCTCTTTCGAAAGTGGTGGACGAGCTCGCTCGTGTTGGCAATCTTGCCCTCGCGCACCAGCTGGATGATTTCGGCCTCGACGGCGTTGGCCGGCACGCGCGGCCCGCTGCTGGTGCCGCCAGCGGC